CGCCGGCTGTACATATTTATGATAAACAAGATGAGCAAGAGCCAACATGGAGACCAGAGCAATAACCACGGACAAGCAACCATTCGCAAAATTAAAACAGAATCTGGAAGGACAACACTCATGAATGCTAACTGATGAACTACATAAAATGCCACAGGGTCGTGAAATTACGAGCAGTCTGAGGTAGGTGAGAGACTGCAAAAATATCGTTATGTTAATGAAAGTACACCTCTGCGGTTCAAAACATAATTATGAAACGACGGAATGATCAAATACTTTCGTACATAAAATTTTAACTGACAATAAATAAATTATATTATACGCAGTTCTTAGAGAAAAACTCAGCATATAAATTTGTGAAACAATTTACCAATGCTAATAATTACATTCGGAGTCTACTCTTTGATAAAATAGAACCTGTGAGGTATTAGAGAAAGGCCGCGACTCCATGGCATTTTAGCACCTGTAGTGAATGAGCGAGCAACTGCATAACCACCATTGCAGGTGCTAAAATACCATGGAGTCATGGCCTGTTCAAACGCTGCCTTAGACTATAAGCAACTATGCGGTGACATTAAAGCGGGTGAATCAGAAAGAGTGATAAGTTAATGATATTTTTATGTGCAGCATCGAAAATTAGCGGTTTGCCAGTAAACGCTTATTTCGTCCTCGTTATGCGTGCACCATGAACACAAGTCGACGTTCTTACAGTATTCTCTGTTCTGCTCCTTCTCTATAATGCTGGTCAAGTAATTTGATCATCAGGCCTCGCCAGCGTGTTCTTTAACAACTGAGTGATCGTTAGTAGTCTAACAAAACCCAGCTTGTAATTGCTGACGCCCATCGATTGTCTCTCAAACGATCTGCACGATCGACTCGCAGGTTAACTCTATGTGTGTCGAATTTGCGTGCTCGGAACGTGATCCCGGAATGATTACACATTGACATTTTTTGATCCGTCGCTCTTAGTGTGACCAACAGTTCGATCTCTTTGGCTTTACTGGCAGACTAATATTCGGCGCTGTTTTCAACACGTTTTTACAGAAAAAGATATACATAACAGAGTTCAGATTGTGGGGCTTTATGCCGCGTTCTTGAATCTTCCACCAAAGAGCAACACTGAAAATGGTATTACCTTATGCATTATCTGTTACAATTCCAAAGACTGTCATGAACTTGGCTAATAATCAATGAAATCACGAAATAAAACTTAGATGATTAAAATTTAAATATTTTACAAAAATATCAATCCTTGTGCAGAAAAGCTATCCGCTGATATGCAACATTAGGCAACAAATCAAAGCGTGTGTAGACAAGCATTTGCGAATTACATAGACTGAAAACCACTAGAATCTGGTGCATGCCCCAGATGTCATAAACGGCCTGAGTTGAAGTTAGTGCGACGCAAGAAACTGAAAAGGCATGCAAATCAAACCTCTGTACAGTTGCAGTCGTAAATGAGTTGTCCGCGTCAGCAGTCACAACTTTGGCACCGGTCGGCTCGTTTTTGTTCCCTCCGTACAACGGAAAAATCAGGCTCTTTAAATCCTTTGATACTTTGACTTGGAATCGTTCCATCGTTTCAAGGGGTACCAACTAAAAAATGTGCAAATTACCTGCAATCATCAAAAAATCATTTCATACAATCAACAAGGACTGTTTCTGATTACGTTAGCAGAGTACTGAAAATTTAATTAATTTAAGGTTTAAATTAAATTCAAACGACTGGATCAACAGTGGCCGGAAACAACGATAGGGTCGACGGGGCACACATCCAAGTGAACCAAGGTGGGTTTAGGAGCCGCTGACATAAAAGGCAGAGGCTTCTTTTCAATGAAGACGGGACTAAGAAAGAATCAACTCATAATACAGGAAAATCAGGATAACTGTTTAAAATACCCCAGTTCGCTCATAACAAAATGTTGACTGAAATCTCAAAGTATTTCTAACTACCGCTCTTTGCGAATGAGAAATCAAATCACAATCATCTCTAACCTATCAACAGATTCCACCAACATCGAAATCCAAAGCGAGGTTGTCGAATCCGAGGGTGAATTAAAAGAACAAGTAAATATTGTATTGCTGCCGCCATCTATACTTCCTGTTTTTTTGTTTGTGTACATATAATGCTGGCAGTCGATAGGTAAATATGCGTTTTTGATAATCTGCAGTCAACCGAAAGCAATACACCTTCGTTTTCTGCTGTGCTTACAATAATGTAACATGACTAGCTAATCATCTACAAAAGGAAGACTGTGATTATGACACCGCCGTGTGGATGATCTCTTGCGTCTTAAACTTACACAAAATGAACCAGTTAGCTGAAACAAATGCCAACTTTCCAAAAAAATTATCCGTATATTAGGGATCCGGAAGCTCCCTTTACGTGATTTTGGCCACAATTCTGACACATCTTTCAAAAATCCAACAAGGCGGTAACAACTGCTTCTAACTTTCTTGCTGAACCATACACCGTGAATATGGTCAATTTGTTGCTTGCAATTACATAAGCGAATAAACATATGATTGATCGACTTAAAGACTGGAAACATTTTTGGAGGTTACATCAAACTGTACCAACTGCTTCACCTTTTCAATCCATTACTGTGCAAAAATCGAAAATTACTCAAATGCATTGCAAATGCATAGCAAATGTGTATCAAATAAATATCAAACAATGGCAGTATACCTTAAAATGTGAAAACTTCTGCAATTCTTCTAAGTCTTCTTCTTCCAATTCACTAATTTTAAGGGAATCGTTCCAAAGCAAGTCAAGAGGCATATCGCGTTCGTAATGAAGTACTTCAAAATCACTCCTAAAACATCAACTGTTTAAAATATTAAACACAAACATTTCTTCTCCCCTATCTTGTAACTGCAGCATCAGCATTAATACTGCAACCGCGTTTTTATTAGCTAAAGCTCTTAAGGCAAAATGTTATATTGTGAATTAATCATTTACAATTAAACGAAGTAGTTTCGTTTCATTCCACAACATTTACTCGATACATTTTATAGATAGACGGAATGACCTACCAGTTTTGCTCTCATCATTGTCTTTAATCATTTTGCAGAAGTGCAAACAATTTAGTATTCGCGATATCGCTCAAGAAATTTTTTCCCATTTAGTTAATAGCTACAGTGAATGATGCAACGCTGAAAGCGAAAGAAACATAGTGCGCAACGTTAACGTCTAGACGTAAAATATAGTTAAAACTTGTGCTCCTGACATATCAATGGCATTCCGAAAGATATCATAAAAGAAGGCTCCTGTTTCTTAGCATGTTCCCTTTAACACGAGTCTGCTAATCGAGTCTGCCTCTTCCGTATTTTTCTGTCACTCGTTAGATTTTCAGAGACTCCTCGCAGTTTCATATCGTACTTGACGACATCGCGCCACCTTTCCTTCAGTCTTACCCTTCATTTCTTTCCCGGAAGTATCAGTGCTTGGACCACATTTCCAACGTATTCAATGGGTATTATTTCAAAGTGGCCGAACCAGCGGAGCCTACTTTCTATAAGCTTTTCTGAGATTGGTGCAATATCTAGGGTGCTTCTTATGAAACTGTTTCGGATGTGGTCCTTTCAGCTGACACCACACATCCATCTGAGCATTCACCTTTCTACAAAGTTCAGCTGTTGCTCATGCCTCTTCCGTGTAGCCAAACAGTCCGCTCCGTACAGAAGCAGCGGTCTTACTATCATTCTGTACACCTTCCTTTTCACTCCGATGGGGAACCTTCTTGTTGCACACTACTCCGCTCACTGCTCTCCATTTTAGCCAACTTTTTTTCGACCAATTTCTTAACTCGTTGTCTGTTTCTACACTATCTTGCAGGATGGAACTAAGATAGTTGAATTCTTGGGTTTGACACGCTTTCTTCACTGGTTTCACGAATTTCGATCTGTTTTCCCCACGGAAATAGCCCGCGCCATATGTTCTGACTTGGCTCTGCTGAGTCGATGGAAGTTCTTCTCGAGAGCTTTCTCCATGCCTCGGTATTTGCAGCTTCAACAGTTTCTTTGCTTTTGCTGCAGAGGACAATACCATCTGCACAGAATATGCAGCATGGGGCAGGTTCCAGCAGATCCTCAGTTATAGCATCTGTCGCCATCTAGAATAGAAATGGACTCTGTGCGGATCCATGGTGGGATCATATCTGTACAGGGAACTCTTCCGTTTCACCGCATTTGCTTCTGACTATCGTTGTCACTGTGTCGTACAAGTCTTTGGTAAGAATGACATTATTCTGGCACAAGTCTCTTTCTCATGATCCACCATACTGCTTCGATCAAAGGCTCTCACCAGGTCTAGAAACACCATGCTGAATGTCTGCTTGCCTTCTCTGTGTGCTTCAAGGACTGATCTCAATGCGAAGATAGCATCTGTGGTTCATCTGCCTGGCATAAAACCAAATTGGTTCGCGGTGATGCCGACCTCTTTCCTCAGTCTTTTCCTCAGCGCCCTCTCATATATCTTCATGGTGTGACGGACAGTTTATTTCCCCAGTAGTTTTCACAGGGAAGTATGTCCCATTTCATCTTGTGCACTGACATCAAAACGCTGCTGAAATGGGATTTCTTAGACGAGTCGCTGGCCTTACGAGTCTCGACATGTTCCGGAATACAGACATCCGAGAGAGCCTTGGTGTACAGCCTTTGCTTCTCCAGATTGAGAAGTCACAGCTGCGACGGTTTGGGCATGTGTTGCGAATGCCTCCAGAAAGGAAGGCTAAGCAGCTCTTTCTTGCGAAACCAACCGGCAGAAGGCACAGAGGACGGCCAAGACGGCCAATATTAACCTGGTTCAAATATGTGGAAGGAGTCTGTTCTAGACTCCAGCTGTCTTTTGCGAAGGTCAGACTCTGGCACAGGATCGGGAACGTTACAAGCTCTCTCTGATGCATCAGCCTCCGCGACTCGAAAGGAGAAGCGGCCATGGAAGATGAAGATGGCATTAAAATACTCTGCCTCCATGATTCCGACATTTTCTCACATTTCATAATACTGTTGCGTAGCGCGCAGAGCCAAGCCACGCCTTCTTAACCCATTGCTTTTCATGCTACTATGGGAACTCTATCCAGGCCAAAGGTCTATTAATTTTTCATTTTGCTCAAGGCATGCTCCACTTCCTCCGGTGCGATCTTTTCGATTAGACCCTGGTTTTGTGGAATTTCTTTCGTGACTTTTCTGGGATGTTCTTCGTCTAGTCGCTTTTCGAAGTGTCTTCGCCAACGGTTGCGAATATCTTTCTCATCGGTCAGCGCCTTTCCGCTTTCGTCTTTTATTCACATCATATTACCGACTTCCCTTGTTTTTTCTCTGGCCATGCAGTAGATGCCTCCCTTTCCTTCGCTGCCAGTTTTTCGTATAAGCTATTACACGCCACAGACTTTGCTTCGGCGACGACTCGTTTACCTAACTCTTTGATACAGCATATTTCACTGTCTTTGGTGCTGTCTGATAGCTGCCATTTTCTGAAGAGCTCTTTCTTTTGCCGTAGGGTCGCCTGCACATCCGCATTCCACCACCACATTTCTTTCTGGATGTTTTGTGCCTTTTATTTCTCTGACTAGACCTCTGGCATTCCCTATGATTATATGCTGGCCATCCGTTCTAATACTTCTGCTCAAGTTCCTTTCTTTCTTTCGTCATTTTTCTTGTGACTTCGACTTTGAACGCTTCTTCGAGTTCGCACCACTGCATCTTTGAGGCTGACGCCGTGCCCGCCGTCTGCTGCTGTTTCAGACAGAGGCATATGACCACTGGTTGATACCGGCTTGTGACAGCTTCCCGGGGATAACCATGCAATCTCTGACCTTCTTAATTTCGCTCTTTCGGAGCAGGAAGTAGTCGATTAGGGGTTTCTTCTGCACGCTCTTAAAAGTCTGCAGCTGGTATTGTCTTTCCTGAAAGAACCAGTTAGTCAGTCCCAAATCATATGCAACTGCCATATGCAAGGTATTCTTTCCTTCTTCATTTAACCCATCATGTTCATATCTGCCATGGACCGATGTATTCTGACATGTCGATTAAGGTCACCCCCCCCCCAATCATCACTTTTTCGTTTGGCCGTCGACTTCAGAATTTCATTCTGGCCAGTGTGCCGGGCGTAGACACTTGTTATATTCAAGATACCACTTTCTAAAGTCGGCTTGGCGCCCTTGATTCTGTCTTTAATTCGGTTGACAACGAATACCCGGCTTTTGGTCGTTCATTCACTACCACTCCAACTTCGCTCGATTTTCGATTTTTCCTCGCTCGATGTTCCAGAGAAAATTATTTTAGAGCCTATCCCGTTCCCTTTCGACTTCTCACCATTCATTTCGTCTCCAGAATACAACTGATGTGAACTTTTCTTTCTCCGCTAACTCCATGTCACTTCCAGTCACTGTTCCAATTATTGTCCCAACATTCCAAGCGGCTATTCGAATTTTCTTGTTTTGCTTTCAGCATGTCATTTCAGCATTTCTCCTTTTGCGACTGCCGTCATCGCAAGGGCTGGTTTCCTCGCTTATTCCTCACAGCCGCTGGGATTTGCTGCTGCCCGTCGCCCGTAGGGAACGCCCGGAAGGTCTTTCTAGAGGTAAGATGACTAATCAAATTTGGCTTTGGGATTGGTTTTTAAGGACGCCCTGCCTGACGCCATCCTGCCTTTGTCAACGGGGCTAGAAACCGGCTACGGCTCGTTGAGGTCAGTAGTATGATTTTTTGATGGCGGCATACACTCGTCATGTCACCGCGTTATCATCAGGTATTGTGGTACTGTTTAAAGAATTTCGCCATGAGTTTGATGGCCGCTTCATCGAGCACCGTCGTCATGTTGTTCGCAGCCGCTTATTCGACGACGTCTCCACTTA